CCTACTGTCAGGGTCTTCAAATCTAGCCCTGAGCAGCTCGACAAATACATCTGCATCGTTTAGTTCTGCAGCATCCTCATTGTGTAGCTGGGCTATCCAGGCGGAAGTGTCTCCCTCATTCATCCCATCTGTAATTGCGGAAACTAGGTCGCGGTCTGTTCTGTATTGGTTTCCAAATTGATCTATATGTGCCCAGATTCAGTTGAGGAAGTAAGCAAGTTTCTCAGGCTTCCCATCAAAAGTTGCTCTAAACCTTGGTGGCTTTGGCCTGGCTGGTGGAATCGCCATGGTGACCGCCAGCTGAGCTGGAATCTGCTGTGCTGCTGCAGGCGGCAGAAGGGGCCCCTGCAAGGGTACTCTGAGGGGCGGCTGAGCTGGAATCTGATGTTGGCTGCAGAATAGGGGCCATCTACCGAACTCATTGCAGTGTTGAAAAAGGCGAGGGTGGCTGCAGCCTGCTGCTGCAAACTGGCCCCATGGTGGTCCCAAACCAAATGGTGCAACCGGTGCCAGCATCCACTGGCATTGGACCCACCCCTGACCAGGATAGAATCTCCAGCCTGGGGGAATACACTCCACAGGGGGTAGCCTCACCGCTGGCTGGTGAGGGGGAGGAATTGGAGGTTGTAACATCCCAAACATTGACTGCATCTGCTGTCTCTCCCTTGCTGCTTTCCCCTGCCATTATGAGCTAATTCTTCAAGCCACCTCTAGCTAAGAGAAATGTTGGCGACGCCATATTGGTTCCACTGTCAGGTCCTAGACCAGGAAAAATGAACATTGGTTGAGTTAAGTTCCAGCTCGGTTGGAGAGGTTGTGACTGTGGGACATAACTCCCCACTTTAAGTCACTCAAAGTGCTCCAGAAGCTCTGCCAACGATTGGCTATGGGATGGAGGCAACAGGTTCCAGTCTTGAGAATTGTCATATTCAGAAGCCCCCACGCCTCTCCATTCTGGCTCGTGGCCCAACCTTGTTGGGCTGGAGTAGGAAAGGTGTTCAGGCAGCTTCTCCTCTGGTCCCATATCTGGATTCAGCTCAGTCTGGCAGCTTATCCAAGAATCTGCTTCTTTGGGCCGAGTGCTTAGCCTTCGTCTTTCCTCTGCACCTTCAATGGCTTCCACAAATTCTTCAGAAGGAGGACACTGGGTCTCAATCAGTCTTCCGGTATCCGTTCCCACTGTTCCTTCTGTGATTTTTTCCTTCTCCTCCATCTTCACTGAGTCTTCGCACTGCCCAAGCTTTAGATCGGTACTGGGGCTCAGCACCCCGGACAGCCCCCTTTCAGGGTGCTGGTAGCTATTTATAGATTTGGGATAATGTCAGCATTCCAGAAAATGTCCATTCCGACAAATAACTCCAAGACAGACATCTTCTCAAAAGTTCTGTTTTACATGGATAGTAAACTGGCAATCTGGGGAATCCCAAATCTGAAAGTTCTACCCTGTTTCTCCAACAATACGGCCTCCCCCAATAGGAAGTCCCAGCATGTTTTATAGGCATGAAATGAAATTAAGCCCCTCCCCCCAAATTAAGGTCTATATTAAAACATGCGAAATGGGGGGGAATGGTGGGGGGGCTTGCCATTAGGAAGTATTTTTGTTGCACACCCGGATATGGTGCTGCCTGCGTTGACCCCGATACGAAGTGCCCCACCAACGCCGAGGTCAACATCCAAGCCATCGCTGCCCGCCCGGCCAAAGATGCAAGGGGGTGGAATTAAGTCACCCCCAAAAAGACAGCCTAGCCATTTTTTCGGGGCTCAAAAAAAAATAAGACCTGGCCTTATTATATGAGAAACACGGTAGGTTTCCTTGCAATAAGTAAAAACTACAAATCCACCCCCTGCACCATCATCGCATCACATGCCCCAATCACTATCCATCCCAACTTGAGATGTCCCTTCAACCAGGTGCAGCATAACATGACCTTGACTTAGAAGAAGAATGCTATTATGTCTAACCATATACACTCCAAGAAATTTCCTCCTCCCATTTTCCCAGGTTCAAGAATGTGGCAGTGTGGAAGTGTCTGGTGTCAATATGGCTTCCAAAGCTGACACAAACTCATCTCTACTGGCAACAGATAAGGTTGGGGAAAGAATGCCTGAAGAGCTGCCAATTAACCCAATTGGCCAACATGACCTGTGACATTTGAGGATGGAGTTATTTCCTAGTTTAATTATACTGAAACTGCAGGAAAGATTTAGATTTGGGTTTCCATTGAAGCTGTGTCGATATGATGTACTCATTAAAGGAGATCTTTGAGAAGGAGCCAAGTCTCAGAGTTCTGATTTGCTTGGGTCCATTATTGGATATGATTGTTCAACCAGCTTTTTATCTATCTAATGATAGATTAATCCAGCCAACATTTTGCCTTCTTCTGTTAAAGAATCTCCTGGGAGACTTTAGAACACAAAAGCTGCCTATAAATCTTTAGACAGAATTTCCACTTCTTGTCTCCTGTTATTTCTTCCATTCTTTCTGTGATGCTGATTTCCTACTCCATTTCTTTCATTTCATAGTAATACCATTTCACAGTAATTCCTCAAAAGAGGCATTTAGGTCTTATTTTTTGGGAATGCCTTCCACTGTCTCACCTTGCGGCAGTGGTACCGACAGCCCCACCCCACCAGCAGGAGCCCGCATGTCTGCTGCAAGACCACTTCTTCTGTGACTGCTTAGCACTGCTCATGTGCGGTGCCTCCCGGCCTCCAGTTTGCTGTCAGAGGCCTTCAGGAAAAACCTCTGTAGCAAAGTCACAAGCTCCAGATTGATGCATGCAGCACCCCCTGGTCTCAGCAGCCGAGAAACGAATTCCAGTTTGACATGCGCGGTATGTACCCCCCCGGGCCTCCATTTCATCATCAAAGGCCTTCAGGAAAACCATCTGCAGCTGAGAAACGAGCTCAGATTGACATGTGACACCCCCAGCCTCTGTTTCATGAGCTCCGGATTGACACTCATGGCACCCCCCGGCCTCCATTTTACTGTGAGACCTTCAGGAAAGGCATCTGTTGCTAAGAAACAAGCTCTGGATTGATGCACACAGTGCCCCTCTGCCTCCGTGGCAAAACAGAGGCTGAGGGGCACCGCACATGTCAATATAGGAGCCTTGGTGGCGCAGTGGTTAGAGTGCAGTACTGCAAGCTACTCCTACTGCAATTTGGCAGATCAAATCCCACCAGGCTGAAGGTTGACTCAGCCTTCCATCCTTCCAAGGTGGGTAAAATGAGGAGCTAAATTGTTGGATGCAATATGCTGACTCTGGAAACTGCTTAGAGAGAGCTGTAAAGCACTATAAAGTGGTATATAAGTCTAAGTGCTATTGCTAATCTGGAGATCGTTTCTTGGCTGAAGAGGCTTTTCCTGAAGGCGTCTGACAGTGAAACGGAGGCTGGGGTGATGCACAAAAGTGGCAGCAAGTGGCTGCAGAAGAAGTGGGCCAGCAAGGCAAGGCAGGTGTCAGAGTGTGGGAGGCTTGGCTGCAAATGTCCTAAAGTAAATGGGTGCCAGGCACATGGGGCAGCTCCATCACCCCATCCCCATCCTAGCTTGATTTTTACTCATGTGCCTCGCCTCACCTCCTGCAACCAGGAGCAACGAAGTGGGTGGGGTCTTAACTAGGGCTTATTTTGGGGGGTAGGACTTATATTGGGCGCACATGTAAAAATCAAGCTAGGGCTATTTTTGGGATAGGTCTTATTTTCAGGGAAACACCGTACAAAGCAACCTATTCTCATTTTAGTACCTGATATCATCATATAAAGAAATGAATCTTTCTAAATGTTAGTTTGTACATGAAAGATAGTAAAAAAACCAAAACCCTGTTATCAGTATATATTATAATTCCTGTTTTATAGCCAGTTTCTCTGGTGACTTATTCTTAGAAACAATGTGCCTCTGAAGCAAAAAATGTATGCCTTACAACATGTACCACATGTCATTGCACAAAGTAGCATTTTATACACAATTGGAAATGCGTGTTTATAAAGTATCGATTATTTAGAAAAATTGGAACACAGTTTCCTGTCACTAAATTGTTGATGCATGCATAATATGAACACTGAAACCTAAATTAATAAAATCACATTTTAAAATCTCCTTATTATCAGACAATTTCAAGACAAATGGAGCCATTTTCTTCAAAAGAAGAGGATGAAAAATGAAAGTAGCACAAAAAAACCTCAGGATTTTGGGGGAACTGTTTTTACCTCTAAATCTGGTCAACTGTTAGTCTTATTAAAAGGTTTTCCATTTAAAGTATGAAGATTAATTGCACCCCAACAGGCCTATCTGTTTTGGCTTCTTCAGTTAATACTACCTATGCCTATACCACAACTCCTTTGGCAGCTCATGTCAATTTGAATCATCTCCATTAATGGAAACAGCTCTTAGACCCTGCTGGGTCTTTGAGCTAGGACTGGATTGTCTATATTCACTACTCCAGTCTCACTCCTCCCACAGTCTGGTTCTGAAACCCATCTGGTTGCGAAGATTTCTCAGACATGTGATTGTCAGTATATTTTCACAATAAAGCTAAATGAGCTGCAAAATCAGGAGAATAGAAAAGACAACTATGTACATTTTGCTTTGATGTAAGTTCACTTTAGTTCTGTGTCTATTTACCTCAAATTATCAAAAATGGTAATAGCTACAACCCAACACATATTAGACTAGGAACTATTTCTACATTTTAGAAATAACAATACTGCTCACAGAGGTACTAGACAAGTGTAGATGGGTAGGAAACGCCAAACTTGATAGTGGCTGATTTGAAATCTCTGAGCCCTCCACTAACCCACCTATGCTTGATTCCTTCTAGCATATCATCCTAAATCTGACTTACCCAATTGAATATACTGTTTTAAAGCACTATGCCTGCAACTTTAGAATTAAGGAGTAGTTTCTGACTTTACTAAACCCCACATCACAATTTAGTTGCAAGATGTTGCCAAGAAATTTAGTTTCTTTCTCCCCACCCCACCTTCCAGGTACTTACCATCTTGGAGTTGTGTCAGTGATTCCTTGTTGTCAGAGTCAAATTCATCATTGAATGTCCGACAGCGGTATCCCTTTTTCTTTAGGATATGGCAAATGAGAAAGCCTGCAAGACCCATGACAAAGAAGACCAAGACCAGCAGGACCAGCATATATAAGCCATGCTGGGGGTCCACATCCCCATCTGTGGTGCTGCTGTCCTCTGACATCAGGAGCTACAAAACGGATGGTAAGACTAAGACTTCTTTGAGATTCACTTTTGTTGTTCCTGCTGCAGCTATTATTGCAGTGGTGATTGCTGCTATTACTACTACTATCCGTCACTCCACAAACATATCCTAAAAACAACGTTTTGGTCTTAATTGAGCGATTATCCATCCAAAACGTGAGATATAAAAACGAGAAAGGAAGACTCTTCCAAAAAAGTCCTGCTTCTCAGCTACACTTAGAAAACTCCTCATCCTCGAGGTATTTGGGTTTCCGATTTAAGCAATTTTGAAAACTGCGACCCCTCTTTCCTCCAATTCCCGCATTTACTTTTTCTAGTTAATTCCAGATCGCTTGCTGGCTCGCGCGCCCGCGCAGTTTCCCGCCGCCTCTTACCTCCGTGCCTCGCACTCATTCCCGCTTCCTTCATGACATTTCCCAAGGTCGCTGCTGCTTTTGCGATATGCAATAATCTTTCTACGTTTTGATCGCCTCTGTCTCGGAGGACCCCTACCCCCAACGCCCTTTCCTACTTGAAGCAAGAGGTATGGTGGGTGGGTGGAGTTAATATTTACTAATGCCTCTCCTCCAGATTCCCACGCGCGACCTCCCTCTAGCTACAGCCCGGTCCTTTTCCGGGACGGATTCTTCCCAAGGGCAGAGCGGAGTCTGCATTGGTGCTTCTCTTTGCAGCAACGTCTCTACATTGGAAACGCAAACTGGCCCAGCCACTGGCTCTGCTGATGCCGCCCCCCCACCCCCGCTCCTTCGTATTCTCTATCCCAGGTACTGTACTCACAAAAAAGGCCAAGTTCAGCTGCGAACGTTGGAATCCAGGGTGAGCAATAGGACTGCAGCAAGGCTGCAAAAGCCAGAATATAAATAAGTCATCTTTTTAGACTGCGGCAGCCCCACCAGCCACACCATTTACCTACTTCCAGAACTGCCTGCCAAGCCGTCCTTTCCAGGCTCAGCACTGATCTCTGCATCTACTTGGTTGTCCTTCTGAGGTACATCCCATGGCAAAAATCTCCTTTCCCCTCAGAATACCCCTGACCATAAGGCACTGCTCCCTTCTGTCATCAGTATTGTGCACTCCTGCTTAAGGTGCAATGCTTTTAATGCTGCAGTTTCTGGTATACCTGAAGGATTCTGTTTTGGGTAAATCTATCCACCTTCATCTGTCTCCTAGCAACTCAGCATATTGAGCTGCCAAATACTATTCTAAGCACCTTCTAGTTTCATCATTTCATTATGGGCACAAAGACGAAGAGCAAATAGCAAGCTATTTCTGTCCACCTCAGTGGCTACCAAGGATTTTTTGCAGGAATAGCAGTAGTCTTCCAGCATCTAAGAAATATATTTGAAGTTTTAGCAATATCTCAAGAAAAGCCTATAAGGACTCCCCTGGTCTGAGAGGACAATAGCTGGAAGTTTCTAGAGGAACCACTATGGATAACTATGGGGCTAAGAAATAAGTTTATCATCTCCATATAAAAGCAATCACTACACTTATATGTGTTCTTATTTCACATTTTTCTAGTGAGCTTTTCTTATATTGCCTCTTTTGCAACCCTTTTCCATATAGTCTTCACATTAAAAAAAAAAGCCATTCATATCAGATATGGTTTTCTGCCTATGCCAGGACAATAGTCAATATGTCAATAATCTCCCAGTTTCAACCCTTGTGCCTTTAACCACTATACTGCACTGGATTTCAAAAGAATTGTAGAGTTTCACAAATGTAAGCAAAAAGAACAATGAAATTTCATCTGAGAATACAGTATGTGGATCCCCCCCCCCCCATCCTGAATTATTATGGCATTTGGCTCCCCTGAGCATTAACAGAATGATAAGAATCTCCAGCAATACTGTTACAGTAGATAAATTAAGAGCTGAAGTGAATGGTCTTTTTAGGAACTACTCAAAAGTTTAAGCTGCATAGATTAAAGAAGTGGTAGGAAGGTTGGATAGAAAATGGGAAAATGGAACTATAAATTGTTAAATACAACTTCCTCCATGGACTACTTTGAAACGGGAATAACTACAAGAGAAATTAGAGAAAAGAGATTAAATTGAAAGCTTTTTTCTTCTTGATTATAAAATGCTTTTTAAAAATGTTGCATTTTCTGGCAGTACCAGGATGACAGTACCAGCATGCCAACAGAGATGTTGTACAATCTACTGCAAATATAGAAATTACTGAAAATAGGCAGAAGAATGTTATGAAGATATAGCAGTTATGATATGAATTTACATGGAATATTCAGGAGCAAGAACAACAAGATACAAAGCATCAGAATATTATGTTTTGCTAAGCTTTCCCACCTGTAAAGACTAAATAAAAATATGAGAAGTACCAGTATGTTTTGTAATATCACCACAACGTAAGTTTTATATGCACGTTATAATTTTTTAGTTTCCACGAAAGTCAGATAATAATGAAAAAACAGATTTTCTTATTATGAAGATCATAATAATAGCAATAATTAAACTTGCATGCCATCCAATTCTCAGTGACTCTGGGTTATAACAAAGAAATTAAAATAAAATCAATAAAAAATAAAACTAAAAGATTATGATAATGATGATGATATCTTGATTTTTTTTTCCTGTTCGGAAGAGCCATGAAGGCCTGGTTTTTCACTCAAGTGTTTAGTATGGAAGAGCTAAAACTCCCTCACCCCACTTCATCAACCCTGCCATCTTTCGTCTTTATATATTTGATTTATTTGATAGTCATTTGTTCGAATGTTGTGAGCTACCTGGAATCATTGTGAATTGGATGGCATACAAATTTAATAAAGTATTATATTACTGGTACCAATACAGGAAAATATTTGTAGTTCAGGGTTGAAATGAGGGATTCTTGGTGTTCTCTGAGCTTGGTTGTTTTCTTGTAGATTTTTTATTACCCAAACTAGGTAAGATTATCAGTGTTAGTGCTAGCATCAACAGATTAAGACTTATGATGTTACCTAGTTTGGGTAATGAAATGTCTGCATGATAACAATCGAGCTCAGAGCACACCTCATGCTACTGTATATTATTTTCTCTATACCTCCCAGTAATACTGTGGCCTTAGTGTTCTACTTTAGTAGTAGTGGTGTTCTACTACTACTATTACTTAGTAATAAATGTATTAATGAAGTACTTTTTCTAGAACGCATAATAAGGGTAAAGTAGGCTCCAAGAAGGAAGAGAGACTTACGTTATGGTGAGTTTTGTTCTTGGAATAGTTGAAAAGATCCAGGACACAGTTCAAAAGATTTATATTCCAGGTTTACCTCTGTTCCCCCCACTTCTAGTTCATTGTAAACTAAAGATGACCCCATAGCGTGATGTAGCTGCAAAAAAAAGGCAAATGAAGGTTTTGACAACATTAACAGAAATATAATTTCTAAATTATGAGTGATCGAAGTTCCACATTATGCTATATTGTCCACAAGTCACTTAAAAATTATCTTGCCCCTTTTTCATATAAAACTCAAGGCAGTGAACATACCAATATACTCTCCTCCTTCTCCAGATGAGTTGGGCTGAGAGAGAGAAAGACGTTGGACCAAAGTTACTTAGCCAGTTTTTCATATCTAAGGCAGGAATAGAACTCGGTCCTAGTTTCACTATACCAGACTGGTTCTCTATGACTTTGGAGTTTTCTGTCCAATTCCAAGCCCCCAATTTAAGAAGGATTCAGACAAACTGAAACTAGTTTGAAGAATAGCTCTGAATATAATAAAAGGAGTCTATGAAAAAAGAAGAAAGTAATTGAGAAAGTTTAACTTTATGAAAGGAAGACTGAAGGGAAATAAGATAGCACTCTTAATACCCCTGGAAAGGTTGTTAAATGGAAAAATGCCTCCCATTATTCCTTGAAAACAGGACTGAATATGAATTTCAATTTCATGAAGACAGATTACAAATGAATATTAGGGAAAAATCCTATAGCAAGAGTATTCTGACAGAGGATTCAATTGTTCGGACACTGCTGGGATCTCCTCTGGATGTTTTCAAGTAGAAATAGAGAGACACCAATTGGAGATATTTTGATTTTCATTCCTGCACAAAAAAGGAGATTGGACTTGAAGGCCTAAATAGTCCTTTTCAATTCTATGATGTCATGATTCAATACATAATGGAAATCATAAGTATGATATTAATAGTTAACTTCTACTCTAGGTCACAAACATGCTGCCAGTTGTACAATTACAAAACTAACTTCCAAAATGCTTTCAAATACAACATGTGACCAAATACCAATCACATTAGTTGCACCATCTGAAAGTTCAAGAGATAGAAAGCACATAATCCACAATACAGAAGGATGCACAGGCATTGATACATTATGGACTAGCAGGTAATGTAATAGCTTCTTCATAATTCCTCTTTTATCTGTTTTAGGTTGGAGAACATTGGAGAACATCATATCTTTATTTATTTAGTTATTTATTTATTTTATTTGGTTTGTCAATTGCTTACAGGATAATAGGTATAAGTAAAAACATAGTTATGAATACATGGATACATATAAGAAAAATAAAAGAAATAGGACAGGGACGGTAGGCACGTTGGTGCGCTTATGCACGCCCCCTACAGACCTCTTAGGAAAGGGGTGAGGTCAATAGTAGAAAGTCAAAGGTTAAAGTTTTTGGGGTTTGGGGAAGAAACCACCAAGTCAGGTAAAGTATTCCAGACATTGACCACTCTGTTGCTGAAGTCGTATTTCCTGCAATCAAGTTTAGTGCGATTAACCTTGAGTTTGTATCTATTGTTTGCTCTTGTATTGTTATGGTTGAAGCTGAAGTATTCATTGACAGGTAGGACATTGCAATGTATGATTTTATATACTATACTTAGATCAGACTGAAGACAACGTAATTCTAGGTTTTCTAGGTCTAGAATTTCAAGTCTGGTGGCATAAGGTATTCTGCAACAAGTAGAGGAGTGGAGAACTCTTCTTGTGAAATATTTCTGGACTTTCTCAACTGTGTTAATATCAGAG